ATATGTCTAGTTTCAATTTGGTCCATTATTTACAAAGTCTCATAAAAATACTGACTTAGGGGGACCAGCAGTTAGTGTAATGGCTATGTCACTGGACTTCCATGTAGTCGACCGTGGTTAGAGTCCTGGACCCAGTGGCTTAAACTTATGCCGGGTGCATGTGCGTGCGTGCCCAAGATCCCAAGAAGAGAATAGAGAAGGGATTGTGGTGTGACCATCCCCCCCTGGGGGGCGATTTCTCGCTTTCTGTCTCTATGTCTCTCTCTGTCTTTCTGGTGAGCACATGCGCCCTATAGCATAAACCTCTCACTAAAAAAAATATACTGACTTAGGGACTTCTCGGGTGGGAGCCAGTCCCTGCTGGCGAGAAGTGAGTCACTTCCCACTCAAAAAGAAAAACAAGTCCTCAGGAAGAAGAAGCAAGTCCCCTCAAAGTAAGAGAAGTCAAAGTCCTTATTCGACACTTAAAGTGGAGCAGGAAAATGAGGATCATCCTCAGAGACAGTGAGAGGATTGGCAGCATCAGAAACCATCAGAATTACAACACCAGAGAGCTAGGTATAGTGACCAAGACAGACACCAGGGCCATTCCCACCAAAGGAGAAGCTCCAGTGAGAGTCCTGGGAGTGGACAGATGCAGGGACTGGATCAAGACACTCCAACCCTGCAGGCTCAAGAAGAGCGGGAGTTTTAAGACACAAGGCACCAGGAGTACCGCCAGAACAATGTCAGTGGCAGTGGTAATGAGTCCTGGGAGTTGGTTCCTCGACCTGGTGGCAATAATAAGGAAAAAAATATGCCTGTTAAGGAAAAACCAAGTTTTGAACTTTCTGGAGCACTTCTTGGGGACACAAACACCTTCTGGGGTATAGTCATTAAATATAGCAACCCCCCAGAAGCATGTATCCCCCAAAAACAGTGGCATCTCTACCCTTTTAAAAATGATGAGGTGCTTTCCATCATGTACATCCATTGACAGAGTGTGTACCTCCTGGGTCAGCACCTCCGCATCTCCCATGGACCAGCCCACTTTTTTTCTTTTTTTTTTTTTTTAGAACAACTCAGCAAAATAAAATTCCGGTTTACTGTTGGACAACATTGTTTCACACTTACATCAAATAGGCCAAAAAATAAAATAAAATAAACAGCAACTTAATAGACAAAAAAGGGAAAAAAGAAACCTTTTATCTTTGGCCTTTTTAACCATCTCATACAAACCAAGTACTTACAGTACAACTAAGTACGTACACAAAAAACGTTACTAGCATGCTTAGAATAAGATGAGTTTTTTGTTGTTTTTGTTTTTTTTACAAGCTTTTTTTTTTTTCCTCTTTTAAGATTATTGTGAACATGGTCAAGCCACAAGTAAAGCCGAAGGAGGGCAGAGGATGCTCTGAAGGCTGGTTTGGTCATCTGAGATCATTAAAAATGGCTGACCCCTAACAATATGTACAAAAATATAAAATGTAAATAAAAAATACAAATTTTCTTTTTAAAAATACTTTTAAGAACAAAAGCAGGGCCTTGGAAGCTTTGGTTCTTTTTTTCCTCCCCTGTTGCAAATTCGCGTTGTGGTTTTGGCTGGGTGGTGGAGAGCGCAGTGCTGTATCCAAGTGGCTCAGCCTGCGGTGGGTGGGCCCCTCTACTTGAAGGTGATCACATTTAGATTCCAAGATGGGAAGCAGAGGGTGAATAGGTCACAGCGGCTTTTTTTTTTTTTTTAAGTTTAACTTTTCCTTTTTTTGCTGTCTGGACAACCTCATCAGTCTTCTGCTGCTTGGCGTCCACATCGTCATCCTCGTCTTCCTCAGCTGCTGCTTGCCCGCAGCTGCTTCAGCCTCCTCGCCTTCATCTCTGTCCTCTTCTTTTTTTCTTTTTTTGGAGAGGTTTTTGGTATAGGGTGTGCTCTCGCCAGAGAGAGACAGAGACAGAGACAGAGACAGAAAGCGAGAAATCACCCCCCCCAAGGGGGATGGCCACGCTGCAATCCCTTCTCCTCCATTCTCCTTTTGGGATCTTGGGCACGCGCGCACATGCACCCGGCGTGAGTTTAAGCCACCGGGTCTGGGACTCGAACCGCGGTCGACTACATGGGAGTCCAGCGACACAGCCATTATGCTATCCTTCTCTGTCCTCATCTTAACTGTCGCCTTCTTTCTCCTCTTCCTCCTCCTCCCCGCCTTCTTCCTCTTCTTCGTCTACCTCATTCTCAGCCTCCTCTTTCCCGCTTTCATCATTAGCATTCCCGTTAGCTGGGGCATCTCTTCCGTTCTCCGCCTCCTCCACAACTTCCTTCTCCTTCAAGTTCTTGGTGGTGATCTCGGAGCTAGTGTCCACGGCCACGTCTGACATGGTGGGGCACGCCGGTGATCCAGTGCAATGGATTAAAAAGAGAGAGTTCGGGAACCCTGGCGATAGTCTGCAGCGGCGGCGGAGGAGGCGCAGGGCAGAGGCGGCTGCGGCTTGCGGAAGCCAAGCTCCGGAACAACGCAAAGATGGTTTGTTCAAAGCAGCACACCATCTTTCAGCATCGGATTGTGGAGTACATCCATGCTGATGGCACAGTCGGCCGAAAGGTGAGGCCCTATATCACTGACCTTGGTTCAGGCAACAGAACCTTCTTTGAACAGTAAGCATATTGAGCCACAGAGATACTATCAACTGAAAGAAAAGGATGTTCTTAAATTTGGGTTCAGTAGCCTAGAGTATGTTTTGCTCCACGAGTCATCAGACACCTTAAGTAGACAGGAAAGAAGAGGAGGATGACGAGGAGAAGCAGGAAGTGTTAGACAGCTAGAAAACTAAGAAACCAACTGTTGACAATTTTTCCTTCTTGGAAGGCTTTGGGATTGACTTCAAAGAGCACGGTGGTGGTCTCTGTAATTCCTGTTACTGCTTTAAGTCTTCTGTTGCTGATCAGCTTATGTTACACTTTAAGAACGCTGACTTTGGTTTCATAGAACTTTTTTCTGTGGCACATTAGCCACGTGTCTGTAGGCATTTGTTTCAGAACAGTCTCATCAATTACTACGCCTTGTGTTTTAGTAGAAGCATTGTGGCTTTAGTTGGTGCTTTGGAAACTGCTATCTAGGAAACTAAACTCTTGGTTAAATGGGACTTGTGGCTTTCTCTCTGTACAGTTACTTTATTTATATAGTCGTTAAGCTTTGTGGGCCAGGTTTTTTGTTTTGGAGGTAAGCCAAAAACAGAATCTTACTAAGCTTGGGTTATCACCAAAACAGCCTCCAGTTTATACCAAAGCTTTGACCTGGTTGAGCTCTTGAGTCATAGAAGTTGATTTTGTACTTAGTTTCTTTTCCTTTTTTCTGTTTACTAAGAGTTTCTGAGTTGAGAATTTTTTTTTTCGAGAGGTTTTTGCTATAGGTCACATATGCACACCAGAAAGACAGAAAGACAGAAAGACAGAAAGCGAGAAATCACCCTCCAGGGGGGATGGCCACGCCACAATCCCTTCTCCTCCATTCTCCTCTCAAGATCTTGGGTCCTCTCGGGATCTTAGGCATACAGGCACATGCGCCTGGCATGATTTTAAGCCACTGGGTCTAGGACTTGAAATGCGGTTGACTATATGGGAGTCTAGCGACGTAGCCATTATGCCATCTGCTGGTCCCGCACTTAGTTTCTTTAGGATGGGAATTTACCACATGACTTCATTCTAAACTCTAATCTAAACAGATGCTTTATGGAGTTGGCATTAAGCACCTGACTGTACAGGAAGATCATGGCTCCTACCAGTGGGTGCTGAGTTCATGTCAGGAGAGGCTGCAGTGGGTTGTGGATCAGATTCTTATGAGAGAATTCCTGATTTCTCCATGGAGCATGTATTTAATAATTTTGATCGTCTTATCTGGTCAATTTTACATTTTTATTCAAATATTATTTTTTGTTTTCTTTGAGAAATACACTTTCACTTATGTGGCAGGGACCTTGCTTTAGTCTAATGTGTGCATGTCCAAGGCTGTATAGTTCACACATTTCTGTGTATTTCATCTTCTAAAAAATTGTTCAGAGAGGCCGTATATACCTTGCCATGGCTGGAAAGCCAGGAGACGCCTGGTTTCCTAATTTCCACCGGAAAAATGTGTAAGTAGAAAAGCATTAACTACTTGTATATAGCGTGTATGTGTGTGTGTATATGTGTGTGTGTATATATATATGTGTGTGTGCGTGTGTGTGTGTATATACACACATTGTGTGTTAAAGAGCTACATACTGATTTTCACATATGAGAGTTTTTTGTGATGTAAATGTAGTACTACATGATTGGCAAAGGTCTTTGCATTTGAAAAGCATATCTTCACTTATATGTATTTTTGGGATAACAAAATTGTAAATATAAAAAAAGAAGAATACTCATTGATTTAGTTGGATTTGCTGGAACATTTTATAAGGAACTTCAGATTAAGACTCTAAAAAAACCTCCCAAGACTACTGAGTCAAGTCAGGAATTTACCATCTGACTGTACCTTTAAATACAGGTGACATTTAAATAATTATAAGCATAAACAGTAAGAATGTTGGCAGTTACCATCTTAAATTCTATTTTTATGTCTAGAGCAACAGCAAAAAAAGAAACTAACTTAGTTTTCTTTTCCAGAAGACCCAAAAATAAGCATCTTATTATTTGTATTTTATTACTGTTAAGTTTCTTTGTGTGAACAGTGTTGTTGTCACCTGTCATAATAGCAATGAACTCCTCTTGATTTATTTCTCCATCACCATCTTTATCAAATTCTTCTATCATAGCTCGAAGTTCTTCATTACTCATGTTTTCACCCAATTCTCTGGCAACATGTCGCAAATTCCTCAAGCTTATTTTACCTGAATCATCATCATCAAATAGTTTAAATGCCTTCAGTATTTCTTCGTGTAGATCTCGTTCCAATATCCAGTCTGTCACAACTTCATTAAAAACTTCAAAGGTGATTTTCCCTGTGGCTTCTCTGTTATAATCTTTAAGAATCTTCAGTATATCGGCTTTTTTAACATCAAACCCCAAGGCTCTCACTGGCACCTTCAATTCATGATAATCTATTGCTTCATCTTTGTCCGTATCGAAGAGTTCAAAAGCATCTTTAATTTCTTGTTTTAGTTCTTCAAAGAGTTCTCTTCTTTTTTTTCCCTCTTTGTTTTGTCTACTACAAATTCTCCTCTCAGAGCTAAACTCATTTTCTCTTTGGATAGAGATGTTCCCTCTCAATGACTTTAACCCCAATAAAATTATTCTTTAAAAACATTTTAAGAGAAAGAGACAGACAGAGACAGAAATAATACAGAGACTGCCCTACCTGGCTAGGTGTTTGGGCTGGAAGAGGTTTGGAGCAGAGATGCTCTTCAGTTGAAGGAGCAGGTCTGGGCCCACCTCAGATGTTGATGGATTCTGAAATTAGCAAGATAAAGGAGAGGTCAGAGGCAAGAGACACTACAGACAGATTTTATGAAAATACAGAGAAAATTCAAGAAAAAAAGAGAGTAAGAGATAGAGAAAAGAAGAAAGAGCCTTCCCTAGCTGGCTAGGCGCTTGGACTGGATGGAGAGGTTTGGAGCTGATGTTTATCAGTTAAATAGCATGGCTGGGTCCACCACTGATGTAGATGGATTTGAAATTATGATGATAAAGAAGAGTTCAGAGGCAAGAGACAGTACTTACTGATTTTAGAAATATATAAAAATATTTTGAGAGAGAGGAGAGAGAGAGAGACTGAGACAGAAAGAACACAGAGACTGTCCTACCAGGCTAGGTGTTTGGGCTGGAAAGAGGGATTTGGAGCACTGGCTCATCAGTAAAGGCAACAGAACCAGGACCACCTAAGATATGAGGAATGTTGAAATTAGAAAGATAAAGGAGAGGTCAGAGGAAAGAGAGAATACTTACAGATTTTTAAAAAATATTTTAACATTTCAAAAGAGCGAGAGCAAGAGCGAGAGACATCACCCTACTTGGCTAGGTGTTTGCGCTGGAAGGAGAGTTTTGGAGCAGAGGCTCTTCAGTTAAAGGAGCAGGGACAGGCCCACCTCAGATGTAGGTGAATTCTGAAATTAGCAAGATAAAGGAGAGGTCAGAGGCAAGAGACAACATTTACTGATTTACAAAAATATTTTAAAAATTTCGAGAGAAATAAAAAGTGAGAAACAGAGACAGAATGAAGACAGAGATGGCCCTACCTGGCTAGGTGTTGGGGCTAGATGGAAAGCATTGGAGCAGAGGCTCTTCAGTTAAAGAAGCAGGGCAGAGCCCATCTCAGAGGTGGATGCATACTGAAATTAGCAAGATAAAGGAGAGGTCATAGGCAAAAGACAGTACTTACATATTTTACAAAAATATAAAACAATTTTCAAGAGAAAGACAGTGGGAGAGAGAAAGAGACAGAGACATAAAAAATACAGAGACCTCCTACCTGGCCAGGTATTTGGGTTGGAAGTAGAGGTTTGGAGCAGAGGCACTTCAGTTAAAGGAGCAGGGCTGGGCTTACCTCAGATATGGATGGATTCTGAAATTAGCAAGATAAAGGGGAGGTCATTGGACAGAAATAGTATTTATGATTTTACAGAAATATATTTTAAAAT